AAGACAGATAGATAGATTTCCCTCCTCTTTGGGCAAGTATAGCCTGAGACTAAGAAACTAGGCTAAGTCAGTCATCAGTGACTACAAAGAAGAAATCCTAGTTAAGTTAGCCTTTCTACAGCCCAAGCATAAGAGACCATGAACAATAGACAGCATCTAAGACCAATCAAACATTTGACATATTTGCAAGTCTAGCTTTACATTTCATTTTGTAATAAAACAAAGACACACATAGCAAGAAAATAAACACACTAGAAAGCAAACGAGCATGTCAGAACCTGCTGCTCCCCGTCAGCCATCTTCAACCTGTCCTGCCTAGAGCCAAGAGAAGCACTGTAATTCATTCTCCATGACTTACTGAAACATGTACAGGTAGGGGTTACCTAAATATTTCTTGAATGGAATAAAGAACATAGGAGAGAGCTAGAAAGATGGATCTTGCAGAAGGCTGATCCAGCACCCACAACTGTCACGTTAGGTCCAGGAGAGCTGATTCCCTCTTCTGGCCTCTGTAGATACTGCATACATGTGGTACACAGACATACAAGCAGGTAAGCACTCATACATAAACTTTTAAAGAAAACATATGAGAAAGTAGTTTTTACTTTTTAGAGATAGTAAATGGTCTTCCATGTCTTGCCGGCTGAATACTCTCCCAGTTCTTCAATATACTGAGACTAGTTTAAAATGCAACCCACTCCTTACCATTAAATAAGTCATTCCACAAGAAGTACAATGTCAGCAATATAATCATAATGTGTTAGCATTTTTATTTGAAAACCAGTGTATACTGGGCGGAGGTGGCTCACACCTTTAACCCCAGCACTTGGGAGCCAGAGGCAGGAAGATTTCTTGGTTCAAGGGCAACCCGGTCTACATAGTGAGGTCCAGGACAGCCAAGGCTACACAGAGAAACTCTGTCTCCAAAAACCAGGAAGAAAAAGAAAACCGATGTACTGTTTATAAATAAATTTACCTCCGCTATCTCTTATAATCATCACTAATATTATGTGGCAAATAATGGACTTTATTACTATTGTGTTGGTGTTACAAAGAGGACAGGGTGAAATCCATACCAACTTACATACAAGGCAAAAAAAAAAAAAATTGAACTGAAAGGAATATAGAAGTTGACCCTGTACACTTTGCCTAGAAAGAAACTCATAACATATCTGTGAAGGCTATTCTTGGTTGTCAACTTGACTCTATCTAGAATGAACTACAATCCAGAAATGGAGGGCACACCATTTGAAGTGGATGAATCCAAGTCTAGTCTGAACCTTTGAGAAAGAAAGACACACCTCTAATCCAGAGCATGAGTTGGGAAGACAACACATCTTTAATTCAAACTTGAGGTGGAAAGACCCACCTTTAATCTGGGCCATACCTTCTGCTTGAAATACATAGAAGAAGCTTCTGCTCTTTGCCTGCTTGCCCTCGCCTTGCTAGCACATCCATTCATTTACTGGCACTGGGGCGTACGTCTTCAGGATTCAGGATTCCGGCATACACAGAAACCCATCTAAGACACTCAGCCTTGTGGGACTGAGCAACTACTAGATTCTTGGACTTTCTGTTCACAGCTAGCCATTGCTGGATTAGCTGGACTGCAATCTGTAGGTATTTCCAACAAACTCCATATATTTATATCTAATTATACATAATTACTTATATATTATATCCAATTGTATATATATGCAATTGTACTTCCCTGTGAAATGACTGTTATTTAATGGCAAGGAATGAGTTGTATTTTAAACTAGTCTCAATATATTAAACAACTGGGAGGATATTCAGCAAGCAAGACATGGTAAGACTTTTGAAAATCATTTAATATCTCTAAAAGTAAAACTAGATATATACATTCATAACACTACATTATATATATGTAAATATATATAATATATAAATATATATAATATGTAAAATAGATACATATATATGGGGGAATCATTCATTAGTTCTGTGACTCTAGAGAACCCTGGCCACTACAGTATCATTCTCTCATTATAAGTTATATCCTGTTCTTTCTCTTTACAAAGCTCTGAACATTGCCTTGGAAGAGAGGTGTGCTATCTGTTGGTGACAGCTAAATCCTGACTAATACACCTGTCTGCTTAGAAAATGACTTATAAACTCCCTCAAGAGAAATGGGAAAGAGATGTGACCTCGTCAGCTGATACCCACATTATCTTGAAAAGATAAGACTTTCATGTTAAAATTGCTAAACAAATTCTATCTTGATAATCTTAAGTGTAAAGGATACATCCTGCATTTCAAAAATCAAAATACCTAATCCAAACAGATATTATCTTGTCTGTTTAGAAGACAGAAAAGAGAACAGAATTGCCCCTCCCATCTCACGTTCATTCAATCAGCACATAATCCTGGGCTCTAACTGCATGCCAGGTACCAAGCCAGGCACAGTACCAGGTGTAACATGTAATTATTTAGGATTTGCAAGTTATCCCTCTTTCCCTGAACCAAGATGAATAAAACCTCTGTCTTAAATATTAAGACAGAGCCTTCACCTTAGCTGTCACCTCTGAGAACATTCAAGAAATTAACTGCAGCCTCTAAGATCAGAGCGCTTCCTTCATTTGTCTTACCATCCCAATCCGATTTGGAAGTTGTTAAAAATAGCGCGCACACACACACACACACACACACACTTCTTTCTTCCTTCCTTTGGACTCTCCTCCAAATAAGAACAGTTAAGCGATGACATTCAAATAAAGAACAATACCTCCACACATAGTTTTTCTTTCCAACATAACAACAAAAATGCAGACTGCTGTTTAAAGAGAAGAAAGGACGACACACACCATTAGTCCTGTCAAGCCCATGAACAGGGCACTTACACGAGTCCACTCAGCAAAGCCTGCAGTCCAACTTGGAATGAAAGAAACATTTTTTTCCCTCCCTCCTGGAAGGTAAGAGAACTTTGGAATCGATTCACTTTACAAATAAGATCCCAGGCACAATTAAAGAAGGCAATCCTTTATTTTTCAGAAATGGGATTTTTAATAGACACCATGCAAAGATTGTACATGAGCAAACGAGTCAACCTGGAAGACAAGAAAGGAGTGATGTAGCTCACAGTTTTCTCTGACAGTAGAGCAGCACAATGCAAGCACAAGAAAGCTGCCTCAGGAAGGCTGGAGTTGGTTTTGTTTTCCCTCCAGTCCACTTAGTGCTGAAGGACGTTCTTCATTGTTTTCACAGGGATACCTAACACACTCATAAAACCTGAACTGTTTCCTTTAGGATTTTGTTTTTACCCCCAGAGTATAGCCAATGGCATTTATGGGACAGTTAAAGTTTCACTGCACTTGGGAAATTTTGAAAGCATAGTGAAAGTGACAAAACAATGCTTTGATACTAAGGCCAAACAAGGAGCTGGGGCATAACAGGTTTAAAACAAACAAACAAACAAAACAAACAGAAAAAAAAAAAAAAAAAAAGCCAAGTGAAAGCCAGGGCACTGTGACTGTGACCTAAACTCTCAGTGTAATCTTAGTCCCACAAATATTCATGCACCTATCTTGAATTTGAACCTACGTCTACATGGAAGTTAATCTGAGTGATTTTAATAGTGTTTTCTCTCAGTTCTGTTAGTGGGCCTGGTCCCTCAAAGACAGCGATGTGACGCATTTCTACAACAGCCTCAGCAAATACAAGAAAATGATGAGAACCCCCCGGAATCCCACTGTGAAGTACTACTTGACTGAGTATCCAAAACTGGCTTCCAGCAGTGCAAGTAATATATCCTATACTTTCTTCTTATTTGGTGATTTTCTTCAACAAACTGGTTTTTGGTGGGGCAGATTACAACAGCTAGCCATAGCACCGTATAGGATTAAAACACAAATCAATCCTTTAGCTTTGAAAATAGTCGTCCGTTCTCAAGGTCGCGTGCATCTACCGGTCTCCATCCTTGCCAGTAAGTTCATCAAACTGTAAAGCTTCAGCAGCAACATATATTCCTGCATTATCTAAATAAACCCTCAATACACAAGTAACATTACAAAGGCGGCTTTCTCTTTCTTGGTCTGGAAAGCCCTGAGACTTTCTCCTTACGGCCTTAAGTGTAATTCCTAGAAGGCACTGGCAAATCTCTGCCAGGCCAGCCTGCAGTAGAAAACAATGTGTCCTACAAGATGACAGGAAAGCCAACGCTTCTAACCATCTACTTCAGCTCTGCAAGGCAATAGCGGTTCATGCTAACACCGTCAACACGGTAATTGTATGGGATCGAACACAGCTCTTGTCAGAGAGGATCTACTTGACCACAAACAGGCAGCTCTGTGGAAATAACAATTGGCTGGAACAAAACACGAGGCTTGCACAATTCTAGAAACACAAGTGTTCCGTTCCTGCGCCGTGCTAAAAACTTTTCCCACCTAAACTTCCCAGCACAGGGCTGAGCTAAAAAAACCGGTTGCCAAACCGTGCACAGAAGGACCACAAAAGCGGCACGCACCACAACCAGACCCGCGGGGCAATGCCCCGTCCCTGCCCAGTCCTGCTCAGGCCGGGCTGCAATGTGGCTTAGTCCAGTCTACTTTTCTAGTAATGTGTTTTTAAAACCCTGCCGCGACCCGGGTCATTCCTTTAGAGATCTAATAACAACCCAAATGACCGGACCTGCGGGGCACTTAGCGAGCCATTCCGCTTATGGCTCTTTAATAGCACCTGGAGTTGTGCTGAGCGGAGAGCGGAAAACTCCGAGCCTCCCCGGAAAGAAAGTCCTGCGCCGGGGAGAGCGGAGAGGCGCGCGGAGCGCGGCCCCACCGCCCGCAGTCCCGCCGGTCCCCGCCGCGCCCGTACCTGTCAGCCCGGCCTCCCCCTTCGCCGCCCCTCCCGGGCAGCCCCGGGAGGAAGCCACCCCGGGCATCCCATCCCAAAGAAAGAAAGCCGCGAGGCTGCCGCTCCGGGCGGGGAGCCATGGGCCACCGCGAGATCCGAGAGGCGGCACGCCGCCCGCGCCCCGCACCTACCAGATAATCCATGTACAGAAACGCCTCGGTTATCCGGAGAGCAGACATCCGGCAGCCTAAAGCATCCGGAATGGCTCCGAACCCGGAAAAAAAAAAAAAAAAAAAAAAAAGCAGCGTCTCGGGCTGCGAGCGAGCAGCTCCTCAAAGAGCCAGCAACAGCGAAAATCGCCGACAGCAGCCGAGGAGCCGAAGATTACACCAGGGCGGCTGCGATTGGCCGGGTGGGCGGGCAGGAGGAAAGGAGCGCGCTCATTGGCCGAGGCGCCTATAAAAGGCAGTCCTCCCCGGTGGAGGGCGGCAGTGAAACGCGGGAGTCTGGAGCGCGCTGGTTCCTGTGTGCTGGGGGCGGGGCGGGCGGAAGCGCCGGCCCGAGACTGGGGAGCCCGCTGCCGCCCGCCGAGCTGCGCGGGGGCCCTAGCCGGCCGAGACCCCGCGAAGCTCCCGGCCTGAGGCTAAGGAGCGGCGGTGTCCCCGCCCGCCCCTTCCTAGCAAACCAGCTCGGGGCGGTGGGAGGCCTGAGAGTCACCGGACTTTTGTGCCCCGAGCACTTCTCCGTGGCCTTGGGACACCGGGGACTGGAGGGTTAGAAGGGCGGAAACCCTCTAAGCAGGCGTCCAGTGCGTCTGCTAAGGCGGCCGATTTGAACCTGACCTTCCTGCCTCCCAGCAGCAGCTCATCCTAGCCTAGGAACGCGGAGCGCTTAGAACCTACACAAGCTTGAGGAGAGCTGAGAGTAGATTGTTCACCCGGAACACCGGAGGAGACACTCCTCTGTTCTTTGCATGCTTCAAGTCCAGTTAACCTTGACCATTATCCAATGCCCCGGAATTAAATAAGCATGGGATCGTGAAAGCCCTCTAAAGAACCCAAGCAATACTGTTTGTGACCCTTATTTTAAGAGGAGAAACAACTCTTAAGAGTAGATGCGCTTGAGACTTGTGTTTCCTGATAAATAACTTGGAATTGAGCGAAGCTGGAGTCAAACAAGAGGTAAAGATAACAATAGTCAATGCTGGATTTTTCCCCCTCCAAGATTCAGGCTCTAAAGGGCATATACTCAGTCAAGGCAAAGATGAAACAAGATAAGCATATCATTCTCACCCGGTGTGGTGGTGCATGCCTTTAATCCCAGCATTTAGGAGGCAGAGGCAGGCAGATCCCTGAGTTTGAGGCCTTCTTGACTACCGAGTAAGTTTCAGGACAGCCAGGGCTACACAAAGAAACCTTCTGAAATGTGTGTGGGGTGGGGGAGAGGTGACGGGACTGGAGGGGAAAAAAAGGAAACTCAAATGATTTGTTAACTGGCACATGTACCACAATAGAACTTTATATAGCTGTTAAACATGTATGAAGTTTCATGATATGCTGAAGTTTATAGTGAGCTCACATTCTTCACTAAGATGTCACATGTGAAAGGAATATTCTGAATATAGAATTTGGAAGACCAAGTTGCAAAAATACAATTCTGTTATTGCCTGCCCGACACAGCTATCCTGTAAGGCGGGGGTAACTGAAGCTTCCTCTACCCCCTGAAAGTCCTGAGAAGAATAAAGGTGGTGACAAAAATCGATCTCACCTGTCTTGGTAATTGGGTCCTGCATACAGTCAATCACATGTCAACTGAAATCTTTATGACTGTCCAGATGTTGTAGGGGTTGGGTTTGTACTCCAGCTCCAGCATTCGACACTTTGTGTGTGTGTGTCCTCAAGTAACAAATATCCTTGCAAGTTTACCCCAGGGCAGTAAAAGTTCTATTATAGAAAAACTGTAGAATTCATTATAGAAAACCATAGAATTCACACTAAATATACGCCTAGTCAGGAAGGGTGTGTAGCCCCTTCAGTTCCTGGCTCATGAGACAAGTGACTAGATGCACTATCCAATCTGTGAACCTGTTTCCTCAAAAAAAAAAAAAAAAAAAAAAAGGAATTCCTAGCCAGAGGGTTTCCAGGGTAATTAGAGGACTTTGAATCTATACATACACTTGTGCAGGGCTGGCCTTTATTGATCTGATTTCCAAGGTATATGTGTGTGAGTAATAATTTTTGTTTGTGTGTTTGTTTTTTTGAGGCAGGGTTTCTTTGTGTAGCCTTTGCTATCCTGGACTTGCTTTTGTAGACCAGGCTGGCCTTGAACTCACAGAGATCCACCTGCCTCTGCCTCCCTGAGTGCTGGGATCACAGGCGTGCACCATCACCCTGGGCTGAGTAATAACTTCTTGAAAGGATTGGGAGGGGTTTTGGTTTGGTTTGGGTTTGGTATTTTTCTACTCTAAGTCTAGGGAGTCTTAGTTGCATTAAGCTAGTACGTCCAATTTTGATTTTTTTTTTCTTTGCCCATGCTGTTAACTCAAGAACATGTAAGTTTACAAAAGATTTTTTTGACCTGGATTCTAAAGCTGAAAGACTTCCATAACCTAGTCTTTACCATAGCTGGTTGAAAGTACAGAAATCAAAAGCCTGTCAAAGGTCTAGCACAAGTACTTCAGTAAAGGATCAATTTGTTTTCTTACTTTCTATGATGCTGCATATCCCAAATGAGATAAAGTTAAGTTTGAGTTAGCAAAGAGGCTTTCCACTCATTATCTTAGTGATTGTGTAAAATTAGAGAGGCCTAGTGATAGGTGGTATTAATGCAGAAAATAAACGCTTTGGAGCAATTGGCTCCTGCACCTCCTTTGACAGCTAAACTCAGGAAGAGATACTTTTTGCTGCCTCTAGGAATCAAATCAGCAAATGGACCCAAAGCAGAGACATGGAAAATTGTGTCTACAGAAAGATTCTGAAAACTACATCATGATAATACCTTAGTCCATGCCAGCTGCAACCTTGTTATGACTGTGAAATGAAATAATACAAAAACCTCATGCTCAGTCTAATGTATTTTTAAAGCCATGTTTTGAATTTTGGAAAAAATCCTTGAAAAAAACCTGAAGCTTCCGAACTCCATATGGACCATAATTTTTGAATTAGGTGTCTTCTGAGATGGTAACATAGGACCACAGAATAGGGGGGAAACAACAACTTCATTGTGATCCTTTGAGCACAGGCCCCATGTAAAGCAGTGGTTGTAGCTGATGGATTAGGTAGCAAGGTCCTCACTCACATCTTGAAAAGAAATGAAGAGATTTGGAATGTGTTTATTCAACTCACCCTACTATATGCCAATTAACAGGCTTCAGTCCTCAATGAGGCATGACCTCATTTCTTTAGTTCTGCCTTCTTTCAGTTCAGAACAATGACTCTCTTCCAGGTGCATAAGAAAACAGGTACAAACTCATGAGTCAATTGCATTACTGCATAGGATGGGAGGCCCCAGGTCTCTGCTGCTGCTTGTTAAAAGCAAAAAGAGATTCTTTTGACCATCCCATAAAGACTGCTAGTGAGGCAGGGAGAATTTTTGTTGCTCTTGTTAAAGTGTCACTCTGAAGCAACAAAAACAAATGCATCTTTACAACTTCTCAATTCTACCCTCCAGGTGAACCAATAACAACTATTTCCATTTATGCTTTTGTTGTTCATTTATTTAATATATAACTTAGGGATGAAAATTGCCTTTGGTAGTTGTGTATCATGCACAGAAACTCTGAATCTCACTGGAACAGAAAATGTTCCATGAATGTTTAATAGCTACCTAAAGTTAAATTTTATAAAGGTACTACGCTAGCAAATCCTCTGTGGCGTGGCGTAACATAAATATTGCAGTGAACATTTGCTTATAAAACTACACACAACTCTTTATTCCAAAGCTTCCATGCAGATGAGTCACTTTGCTTACTCCATATGGAAACCAGTCAGTTGAGAGGCAAAGTGGTAAAAAGAGCTTTATTACAATAAAGTTAGCTGGTCAGAGAAAGTGGGAATTCTTACCCCTCAAGAGCCATCTTGCTGGGAAGCTCATTTGCAGGCAGGTTATAAGGAGAGCAGTGATCTCAGACTGATGGATACCTTCTCGTGGGTAGAAGTTTAGTCTGGTGATGCCTGTCTAATTGTAATCACCTAGTGTTACTCTTGCTTGCAAATGTCAAGAACAAAGATTATTTCCTCTGAGCTGTTGTTGTCACAGATTGGTGTGCCACTTGCAATGGCTGAACTATAATGCAAAAGACAGGCTGAAGTGAGTAGCTGCCCCAATGTCCTATTATTGGTTGCCAAATTATACGTGATGCAAGAAAAGCTACTTCACATGATTATTGCAAAAGGGTCAAGTTAGGAAAAAGAGGAAACCACCCTGCTATCTCAGCCTCAGTGCGGAGCTGCATTAGGAAGCTTCCTAGGCATGGTCTTGTCTTTCAGCTTCTGAGGTTGCCAGCATTCTCTTACTTCTGGAGTATCACTTCACTCCTGTCTTTGCCTTTGTGGCCACCTTGTCATCAGTTCTTCTATAGCTTAATCTTTCCTGGCCTGTAATGTCACATTTAATTGCATTTTGGCTCACAAATAAAGATAGTCTCCCCCTGCCTTGAAATGTAATCACATCTTTCAAGTTGCTTTTGCCATCTAAGGTAACATCCTAAGTGTTAGAGATTAGGACCTGTGCTGGTTAGGTTGTTTTCATCAACTTGACACAAGCTAGGGTCACCTGGGAAGAAAGAACCACAAATGAGAAAATACTTCCATCAGACTGGCCTGTAGGCCAGTCTGTGAGGCATTTTTTGATCTGTGATTGATATAAGAGAGCCCAGCCCACTGTGAGCAGTGTCACTCCTAGGCAGATGGTCCTAGATTGTATAAAAAGAACAAAATCCATAAGTTATTTAGGAATATCACATATATACTCACACACCCATGTGTTTGACTAACAACACAGACATAGGGGCAATGAATTTGAGAGCAAGGGGGCCTTATTTGGCAAGGGTTGGAGGGAGACTAGGGAATAGGGAAAATGATGTAATTACATTTTAATTTCAAAAATTAAAAAATTAAATTTTTGTGCATTGATGTTTTGCCTGAATGTACATCTGTACTGTATGATAGTGTTGGAGTCCCTGGAACTGGAGTTACAGACAGCTGTGAGCTGCCCTGTGGATGCTGAGACTCAAACCTGGGTCTTCTGGGAAGA